AAAAAATAATTGTAAAAGTGATATTTTCCTTACACAAGTCAATATTTTTAACTATAAAATTGCAAACTGGTTATATATACTGCGGCCCATTAACAACTAGGTATCCAGACACTAGGAGAAGAGTATACAGGTACCATAAGGGTCGATCAGGATGGACACATTCCTTCAAAAATGGTTTGAAGTATTTAACAATTTGGAAAAGTTGCTAATGTTATCTATACTCGTAGGTACAAACTTTATGGTTAATTCTTTATATAGGTGGTGAACCATTACTCGAAAGACTACTCAGTTCTTCCAAAAATAAAATATCTAAATCGACAGCCTTAAGGGAAGAAGCAAAATCATTTCTTTTGCGATGTATAGATTTCATCAAAGAACGAAAATCAACTGTTGCGAGAATTCATCAATCTATTTTCTACACCAATGGCAAATATTATAATTTATCAAATAGGTTAATGGGTATACGATATGTAATTCGAAATAATGCTATTATAGGTATTAGAATTAATTACGTATTTGCAGGTACTCTTGAGACAATGGTTGCAAGACGATACATTTACGGGAAGTTTCAATCTGTTAGGTCATATATCATTATTTTATATTTTATTTAATTTTATACATCAACTTTTATTCAATCATGATAGAAATGTTTCGGAAAATTTTCCCGTTTCTTCAAGTACATCCAACAGGACTTGTGTCTTATGTGCAGAAAATATGAAATCTCCCTGTGCAACAACGTGCGGTCATGTATTTTGTTGGACTTGTATTTATGAAAGTTTAAGTTACCAGAAATCTTGCCCTGTATGTAGGGAAAATATTAGCTCCAGTAGAATTATATTTTTACAGAATTATACTTGAATGTTCAGGTAATAATAATAATGAAATTAAATAATATACGTAATATAAAGTGTATTAAGGATGCAAAAATTATAATTTTTTTGCATATTCTTTTTTATAATAAAGGAAAAGTTACTGTTTAATTTAGTTTATTTATCTGAATAATTTCTTTAAATAACTTAATTCATTTGCGATTTTTTTTTAATAAAGTAAGATTGAATAATTNTACTTGTTGAACCAATTACAATTGTCCATTTAATAATCCAATGCTCACTAGATTATTAAAGTGGAACTAAGTAACGTAAAAATTATAAACCTAAACAAAAGAAACGTCAAAAGACATATAAACATATTTTTAATAAAGTAATCCCTGAAATGAATTATGTAAAATCACTCATAAAAAAAATTACAACACTATGGATTGACTGGACCATCAATGAATATCTGGAAGGCCACTATTTATCAAATTCATTCAAATCGTATGCCTCAAAAATTTTTTTAAAGATTTTTAGTTCTTAATGGGCCACACAGTATAATAATTCTAATTTTTTACTTTTCTTCAGGAGCGGAAAGATCGATTAATAGAAGAAGTCAAAAGGCATTTTGGTTATACTGTCGATCCACGGGATGATAAGTTCAAGGAGATGCTTGAGAAAAAGGAAAAAGAACAGAAGAAGGCCATGAAAGAAGAAAGGCGTAAAGCTAAAGAAGCTAAGATGGTCGATAGGTTACTGAAGAAGAAGAATGAAGAGGTGAAAATAGACGAAATAGTGGAAGAAGAAAAGAAATAATAACCCAGATTTCTTTTAGTCAAGTTGTCAATAAGTTGTACTTTTTTTAATAAAGACTTTTGTGTTTATACTTTTCTTTTTAAGTGTTATTTAGTAGTTGGACAAATAAATAGAACTTTGAGTTATAGAATCTTTTTTTTTGTTTATACAATTATTCTAAGAGTTTCAAGGATCATCAAATTCTAAAAACGGTTTTCAAAAGCTTTAATTTTTTTTTATGTGATTGTGTGATTTCGTAATTGAGGAAAAATATTTAAAACACGTGGCCATCTCTTACAAGCATTTATAAGTCTTCGTAGTACTGGTGATGGAAACTTTGTCAGCGTTGGATAGGAACGAATCTATCCGCCGCTAGGTGTCGCGGCGGCCAACAATGCAATTGGTATTTATATTTGGAGGGGAGCGAAGAGAGTTTTGGAAGAAAACTGGCTTTAGAACGCTTACTATGCGCATTTCGAGTGCGCAGTAGTCTTCGCGTTGTCCAGATTCTTTGTACCATTCCTAGCATACCACAAACAGACAAACTCCTCGTATTAACGGACTAAAATCCGTCCTAATTATCCATAAAGTTGCCGAAGAGGCTCGAATTTTTAATTTTGGTAAGTACCTAGCAGTTTAAGAACGNCAGGAGCGGAAAGATCGATTAATAGAAGAAGTCAAAAGGCATTTTGGTTATACTGTCGATCCACGGGATGATAAGTTCAAGGAGATGCTTGAGAAAAAGGAAAAAGAACAGAAGAAGGCCATGAAAGAAGAAAGGCGTAAAGCTAAAGAAGCTAAGATGGTCGATAGGTTACTGAAAAAGAAGAATGAAGAGGTGAAAATAGACGAAATAGTGGAAGAAGAACAGAAATAATAAACCAGATTTCTTTTAGTCAAGTTGTCAATAAGTTGTACTTTTTTTAATAAAGACTTTTGTGTTTATACTTTTCTTTTTAAGGAAGTTATTTAGTAATTGGACAAATAAATAGAACTTTGATCTTTTTTTTTGTTTGTACAATTATTCTAAGAGTTTCAAGAATCATCAAATTCTAAAAGAGGTTTTCAAAAGCTTTATTTTTTTTATTGTAAATGTGATTTCGTAATTGAAGAAAAATATTTAAATACGTGGCCATCTCTTACAAGCATTTATAAGTCTTCGTAGCACTGGTGATGGAAACTTTGTCTGCGTTGGCTAGGAACGAATCTATCCGCCGCTAGGTGTCGCGGCGGCCAACAATGCAATTGGTATTTATATTTGGAGGGGAGCGAAGAGAGTTTTGGAAGAAAA